ATAAACAGTCATAGGTCATTGTTTTCATAGTGAAAAGAGGAAGGCCGAAGATAGATAAGAATGAATAATGAAGTGAAAGCGTTGAGAATAATAGTGAACGAACAGTCTGACATAACTGATAAAATAAAATATGAGTATACAACATATTTCCGAATTATTGGCGCATATTGAACCTACGTAATTCAAATTTTTGATGATTTCAACAGAAATTTGATTAGTTTTCATTCAATCAGTATCTTATTCTGAGTTTCGATTCTGATAATTTTATTATTAAAAAAGAAATTCTTACTAAAGTAAGCCATATTCATATAGATGAAATATTCATTGTAAATATAATATGAATATATAAAAGATTGAAAGTTCAAAGGATTTCTATGAAGGAAAATAAATCTTATGTAATTTAGTCGTCAAATAAACTTATTTTATATTTTGATTTATCTTTTTGGTAAAATTTTAAATATAATTGAGATTGATGTTCAATGAAATTAATTGAATAGGTTCGTCTTTGTACATAACAGTTAATTTATGCTATTTATTTAGGTTAAATAGACGTTAACAATTATTTCGTAAAACTTTAATATTATTTTATTTTATTTATTTCGATAATTCATTTTAATGATCAATTTTTAATAAACATTAATTAAAAATCTATTATAAACTATTAAATAAGCAATGACAATGAAGAGACTATTCTAGCTATCAATAAATAACAATGTCAACATTTCTATAAAGAGAACAAAGCAAAAATAAATCTTAAATATAAAGATAAAATAAGATTTAATTATGAAATAAGTGTATCTGCTCTAAAATAACGTGCAAAATTGAACATAATTGCAATTATCCAATGTAAACCTTCTGATTTGTTATTATTAAATGGATCATTTATATAAAATAATCGAGTTAATTTATAATAAAAACGAAAAGGAAACATATAAAATTGTGCTAAATGATGATTTTTAGCATATGCGAAACAACTTGCTAAGACATTATTGACTAATAATGTACCTTTCATTGTTAATGGAGCATAATAACCTTTTTTTATTTCAATTGTTATATTTATAACTGGCGAATATTCGAATTTATCATTTAATAACACATATAATAAATCTCCTA